ACACCCTTTTCATAGTGTCAACGGAAATATAGTTTAATCATACAAAACAGTAGCTACAGTTCCTCAAACTGGGGATTTCCTAATGTATTCCAGTTTTGAGATTTGGTGTCCTCTATCAAGGTCACTAGAATATACTGAATTTATGAACCTGCCTTGGCACGAATGACCCAGCGACTGCTGGGCTTTTCTTGAGGCACCTGCATTTTAAGCCAAGAGTTGAGTTACGTTATGTGCGTTAGGGGGTAGACATTCTGAAGTGAGCCAGTTTTTACACCAAAATATTGAATGTGGGAGCTGCCCTGGAGAATATGCATCCTTAAGTCAAATATTTATTGAGCACCTACTGAGTGCTTGCAGTCTTCTGGGCATAACAGGCATATAGCCATGAATAAAACAGACCCAAATCTCAGACCTCATGGAACCTACATTCTAATGGGGAGAGTGAAAATTAAACAAGAAGGAAAATATGCTATATAGCATTAACCGATAAAGGGGACAAAATAAACGAGGAATGGGATATAGAGTGTGTATGCGTTTGAATGTGAGGGGAGGAAGGTTTGGCTCGAGGTTGAAACTGTAAGTGGAATCACTGGGGAGGCCTCACTGGGGGTGATTGCTGGATCAAGTCCTGAGAACAAAGGGAGTACTTGTGAGCATCTGATCCTGGAGGGAAGCGTTGCAGACAGATGGAAAAGTCAATGCCAAAGCCCAGTGTGCATGTGTACGTGCCTGTGTGTGTGTGTGTGTGTGTGTGTGTGTGTAGGCTGGTGGGGAGGGAGATGGGGGCGACCATGCAGGTATTATTCTTGAGTGAGAAGAAAAACCACTGAGTCTGAATTTGTAGGACCAATGGGATCACTTGGGCTGCTGTGTTGAAAACAGATTGTGAGACAGACTTCAGATAAGAGTCTTGCAATAAACCAGTGAGGAGATGGTGGTGGCTGGACCAGAGTTGTGGCCTGATTCTGAATATCCGGTGAGGATGGAGCCGATGGTCTGGATGAGGCATATAAGAGAAAAAGCAGTCAGGATGGGCGCTGAGGAGCTGTTACTAACCGAGAGGTCAGGTTTGCAAGCTTGCTTCAGAATTCTTTAGAAAAAAACGGAAGGTCTGGTCTCAATTTTTAAAAGAATGTTAATAAGGATTTTTTTAAAGCTTGTGTTTTTTTTTTCCTTTCCCACAGTCTCACTGTGCTTAATCTATCAATTACCTGGCACTCAGATGCAGAACAGTGGGTTTTGATGAACTAAAAAAGGTTTTAATAAGGCTAAGTTGTTTTAGTTAGCACAACTGCTTTTGCGTTAATTGTTGGCGACTGAGTTTTAAGATGTAACAAATGCAGACACTGTCTGGAAAAATTCTATGCAGGCTCACTTCTGTACCAAGTCCAGAACATTACAAGAGCAGGCAGAGAGCTTTGACTCCCAAAGAGAGAAGAGCTCTCTCTTCCCAGCCTCACACTCACAAAATTTTCATTAGGTTCAGGCTCAGGCTGTGGCTTGGGACAGAGGAATGAGGGTTACAGCAGGACCATCACAGCTAGATTCTGGAAGAGTCGGAACTAGAACACACTTTATTTTATGTCCAGCACAGCCCCCCACCCCAAATCCTGTAAGCTCGTGGCTCCATGAGATCACCCCGGGAAACTAAAATCCCACTGCACGTGTGCCCCTCCACCCTGCCCCACTTAGCTAATCGTCTCACTGGATACAGGTTCTTATAAATTCACATTTTCAAGGGAAAGCCCTTTCGGGGGAGCAATGGGTCCAGCATTTCACATGGGAAGAAAGTTCCCAACCGTAGAAATAGTAGGGAAAACACCAAAAGGAACCACAATCCCCTCTGAGGGACCCCCACAGCTCATCTTGACTACACTGTCCCTGCCCCAAACACACGCATTACAGAGTGGAGGCTCCCACAGAGTAGATGGACTTTGGTGTTGACAACTTGACCCCTATTGTCAGAAGAAATCATTCAGGAGACCTTTCCCCAATTTGGGGGGGCGGGGCGGGGCTCAGGCTCTTTATGGCTTGAGCTGTAACATCCGTTACAGCAGTGGTTCTCCTAGGTGCTTTCAAAATAATATTGATGCCCAGGCCCTACCTTGGAGAAACTCATTAAACTGGTTTGAAGGGGACACAGACATGGGTATTTTTTAAAGCTCAAGTGATTCTACTGTGCGGCCAGGGTTAACATCTTTCACTGCAGCAACAGGTTTAAAAAGATGTGCCCTTTAACATGCTAGGAAGATAACACCATCCAGCCGGGAGAACAGCATGTCACAAACACAAGAGGAGCTCCCGGGCGAGAGGACAGGGGCACGGGCTGCTTCTTTCCAGCAATTCCTGTCGAAGCTCCCAAATTATGTCCCAATTTCCAGAAGATTCCTTAATTCCATCCACATGATTTTAACACAATTACTGCTTAAAGGCAGCCTGATAACCAAGAAGTATTGAAGAGGCAACAAGAGGTGAATTTTGAAGCACAGCAAACTTGTTCATCCATTCACCTACTGAATCAGCTAAATTTCTTCATGGTGTGGCCAAATGCCAAATGAAAACCTGCCTTAAACTAAAGGCTATCAGCAAAGATGCTGGCACGAGTTTCTTTAATGTGAGCAATGCTATCAAAACCTCTCCATCCTAGCCTCAGTCAAGAGATACAGATTAATAGTTTTTCCTGGTGATAGAAGATTAAGTGCTACTATATTCAGAGATAATTTGGATTTATGTCCAGGGCACCCAGTTATCTCATGAATAGATTCCACTGGCTAAAACAGACACTGCCGTTACCCTAAGTTTATACTCGTTTAGGAAAAGTAAATAAAGGTCTAAAAGGAATCTATTTTATGAACAAAATAATTTTGCAAGTTGTCACAGAGCTCATTTGACATCTGACATCTCTAGTACCATCTCACACAATTAGTAAGATCATTTCTATATTTTTATGACTTGGCAATGAATTCCTTTTCTAGAACATCCAGCTATGTTCAGTATTTTACTATTATGAGCTCCTGCCCAAGTCAGGCACAGATCACTTCTCTGAACATACCTCATTGTATTTGAAAACCCTGAATTCCAACCTAGGTTTTAAAGGAACTACTGTGTTCTTACGCACATTCCATGGAAACCAGTTTGAATCTGACCCTTCCCCATCACTATTTTTGGAGAGAGTGATGAACAGGAGTAACTTCTCTGAGAGGCAGTGCTATTTATCCAGCTCTTGTTGAACTAGCCCACAGTCTGATACACACAAATACACAAATAATTAAGAAAAAGGACTCACAAGAGCAACAAGCCAGAAAGACTCTGGCTTTAAATACATACTGAGCTTGAACAGAAGAGAGGTGTGTGTGTGTATATGTGTGTGTGTGCATGCAAAACTCGTGTGTCAAGAGCCTCTTCATTCAGAAGGCAGTCCTTCACCTGCTTGTGCTCAGAATTGAGCACATATGGCACAAACAGAACCCGTGAGCTCTGCTACTGGCCCATATTCCCCACTCAGGTAATCAGTCACTTGAGATGCAGCGGGTGTTCTCTCAGGAGAAATCACACACTGGCCCTAGGGGAGAGCAGAGAAGAGAAAGGGAGGGCTCCCAGAAGTAATAGCCAGCACTGAACTCATGACAGGTGTATCTGCCAATGAAAAGTGAAGACAGTTTCATTTCTAATCCCTTTATGATCCAAAGTAGGCAGATCCCGCTATGTATTAAATATGTATCTTTACTATTAATGAGCTCATAAGAATGTCTGAGGCGGTGGTGACTGACAAACTATGGAGGTACTCACTGTAAAAGGAAGTAAATTAGAATAAGCAAAGACAACCTCCAGCCCCAATGTGAGAATGCTAGAATATATGCTAAGTCAAGAGCTATAAGAAATCTGAGGTGAAAGGAATCCCTACAAAATGAACACTCAGTTTATTCAAAATCTAGTTCCTTCTAATAATGAATGCTTTAAAAAGCACCAGGCAGAAGAGAAATAAGCTTCAGTAAAAGGCTTTCTTCCCCTCCAAGAAGTTCTTTCAAAAATTCAAGACTCATCCCAAGTCTATTTGGTGAATACCTACTACGTACTGTGGTGGGCATCATCAGAGAGGAGATAAAAATGAAGGGAACCCCTGGGAGATCCACTACTTCAATTGTTCTTCATACCCAAGACAAAGGAAACATTCTGGAGACCACCGCGCCCCTATCCCACATTGTCTGAGAGGAGGCTGAGACACTAGACGAAGTCCTAACTCTGGAAAGAGAGTTGTTCTAATTTGTACATCCTCGAATATTTTCCTAACAAATATATGTGTTCTGAGTGTTCTATACAAAAACATAATAGAAGTCCCTCAAAAGCTGAGCCCAAAACTGCTGGGCTAGAATCACGACACCGTGATGGTTGAGAACTGCTAAGTCAGATAAGACAGGTGGGGTTCCTCCAGCATCAGTTTAATGATCACCAGGGCTACCTGTGAAGCCAAGTACAAGCATGCCTTAACATAGCAGGCTTCTGCCAATGCACCCCCCTCCCAGAGACAGAAAAGCAAAGTCTTCTGTCCTCAGAACATCACTGCTGGCAGCCCTAAGCCCCCACGGCAGCAAGCTTCCTCCATTCCTCCTCCTCCGCTGCTCCTGCTGCCCATTCCCCTGCCCCACTTTTCCTAGAAGGGGTTCCAGCTGCTGATGGAATGCTGTCTCTTTAACACACCACTTTCTCAAAAAAAAAAAAAAAAAAGAGAGAGAAAGAATAGAAAAAGCATATCTAGACAGACAGAAAGTAGGTAAGTGGCTGCTTGGGGCTGGAGTTGGAAGAGACAATGGTGCTAAATGCACATGAAACCTCTTTCTGGAGTGATGGAAATGTTCTAAAATTGGATTGCAGTGATGGTTGCACAAATCTGTAAATACACTAAACATCACTGAGTTGGATACTTAAAACTGTTGAGTTTTATGGTATGTAAATTTTACCCCAATACGGCTGTTAATTGAAAAAAAAAATGTATTAACTGTGTTTAACATTAAGTCATGGGCATGTCTACCCAAGGTGGGGAAAAATACAGCTTTGCTGAAAATGCAGAAACAGGAGCAAATGGATTACAAGTTTGTTCAGAATCCCTTCAACTTTAATTGTGGGGATCAGATCAGGCAGCCACTGAGGATAAAATGCAGTCCCCAGGAGTAGTTGCAATGCTGTTTGTAAAGTGGACATGATAAAAGCTATTTTTTTATTAGGGCAAGTGGTCAAAAGTCGTTAAAATTGTCGTCATTCCTCAATTGTCTCTTTTTTACCAGTCTCTTGCCCTTCAAAGACAGGATACCTGGCCTCCACATCGGCCCACGTGATGCTGCCATTGGCCAGATCGCAGACTACACTGGGCAGTTCAGAGACCTGGGGTAATAAAGCAAAGAGAATTCCAAGAATCAACAAACTGGATTAGAACATCGAAAAGAAGATTCACCCTGAACTCAGGAGACCTTAGAGAGAGCCAAATCAGTGTCTAAAGAATCACAAGATCCCTCTGCAAACTGGTCTCCACAGAATGTTTCCCATCACTCCTCCTGAAGCCTCCTTCCTTACTTAAACTCACCTTTCTCCCAGGCCTGGGTTCGTGCTTTTCTTCCAGCCCAGAATGTCTAACCCCTGGATCACTCAATTCTCCCACAAAGCCTTTCCTAATTATTCTAAATTGCTGTCACCTGAAGCTACTTCGTGTGCATTAACTTTAACTCTAAGAAGAGCTAGTCAAGTAACATGAGCGAGGGGAGACTAGCAAACCGGGGAGCCCCAACCAAAGGGGCCAGCTGTTCCTCAGTCACAACCAAACATTGGCTACCACTCAGCAGCAGTTCCTAAACTTGACCATGCATCGGAATCATCCAGGGGTCACATCATGCCCACCCTCTATCTGTCGCTAACCTCCCACCCCACCTGTTTCTGATTCAATAGGTCTGGGGTGAAGAGTCTGCTTATTTAACAAAATCCCAGGTGATGTGATGCTGCTGGTCCAGGGACCACACTCTGAGTATCATTATCAGACTGGGAATGTAGGTCCACAGTGGCCGGATCTGGCTTTGTAAAAAGACAAACCAGAAATCCTTAACTTCCAAATTAAGACTATAAACTCCTTTGGAAAAAAAGCAGTCTTTCACTTCTGTTTTCCTATTATTAACTCTCTGTAGCAAGCTGAGCACATAACAGGCATGCTAAATAGAACCTCTGCTCAAAATTAGTCAGGCAGTTGTCAGTTAAAGTGGGTGTTCTTTCCTTCCCCTTCTGTACTTTTCCCATCTCCATTATCCCTTCCCATTAAGTAAAATTACTGAAACATTATTAGCTATTTTGAATGGATTAACAGGAAAAGTTTATACATACATATGTATCGATACATATGTACACATCTGTATAGAAATATACAAATGTCAAAGCCCCCCAAAGTCTGCCAATAAAACTATGGCAGCAACCACTTGGGATCATATGTCTCTTGCCCAAATAAACAATTACATAAAAGCAAACTGCTGGAGAACGAGCGCAGAGTGAGCCAAGTGGTTATAAAACATTAGATAACTGTTAACGGGTATTTTCATAATTAAGCCAAGGGGATTTGGGAATCTGTGCTCTGATATAAGCCTATGATTAAAATTCAAAAGAAAAAAGGGGGGGGCAAAAACACAACAAAATCCAGGTCAAATCAGAAGGAACCAGTATACATTTCTAAGTTAAAAATGCCAAAGAGAAGGCCAGCCACCTCTGCTCTAATCTGCCGCATGGAGTCTCGGTCCCGCAGAGTTGCCGTGTGAGGGGTCTTGTTCACTGTATCGAAGTCAATGGTGATGCCGAAAGCCACGCCAATCTCATCAGTCCTGGCGTAGCGTCTTCCAATAGACCCAGAGGAGTCGTCTACTTTGTGAGAGACGCCGTTCCTGGTCAGGGCTTCCGCTATCCAAAATAAATTAAGTAAATTAAAAATAAAAAACGGACAACGTTCCAATGTCATCTACATGTTGTCATACAAGCTCGGGAAACTTATAAAAGGGACTGAGACCAAGAGAGCAATTAAGTTACAGCTGCAAAAGAAAGAAAAATCCCCAAAGTTTACTAAGTGCCTCACTGTAGCTCCTACCCACATCTCACCTGGCTACAGGGGAACAAGTAACACACTAAGAGCCAAGGCCAGGAGGCCCCATCCAGACTCCCCCACCTCTACTTGCACAACCCCAAGCAACTCAATGAACTCTTCCCATTTCCCAACTCTGAAATCGGTGGGCCCCACCACATGACCACTAGGAGCCCATTCGTGCTGTGGGTCCAGTTTGTTAACACTCCACTAGGATTCCCCTGATGAAGGGAGCAGCGCCAAGGTCAAGAGGAGAAGCAAGGATATTTTGAATCTGACCCTTGGGTCCTAGGCTGGCTAATTCAAATACTAGGAGAAAACATTCTGAACAAGCACACTCTCTTTTAGAAGTAAGGGCAGAGGCTAAAATCACTTAGATTTACTCTTTATTCAGTATGTATTTTTATTGAAAAAAAGATACATCTCCTAAAATTCAGTCTACTTGACAGTGTTCCCCTGGAGATTACCCAACTGGATTTGCTTACATAATTCCTTGACAAATGGCATGAACTCCTGGTTTTGGCTCAGTGGCAGGACCGAACATTTGAATGGAGCTACTACAGCAGGGAAACTGAAGAACTACATGTTTTAAAAAAGAAAGAAATCCAAAGACATTAGTTTATAAACATCTAAACATTAATGTCCAAACTTCATTATCAAAATACCAGAAAACATAATTTGAAAAGCAATGTGACAAAAGAGAAAAAGCAAGATGGATCTGGTTTTCAGCTCTAAATTCGAACCACCTTAGATCTAAGTCTTATGATTTAGATCTTAGTCTCTCCATCTAAAAGCGGGTATCTCCCATCTGCTCTGCTTACTTCACACGTCTGTAAAAAGCTGAATGATGTGAAAGCATTCCAAAAGCTACCATATAAGATGGTCATTTTTTGGTACCACATAAAAACCTTACTTCTTTCCGTGGAAACCCATGAAGAACCTCCCGCCAAATCATCAAATAGTAAGTGGCAGTGCCAAAAACCAAAATCCCATTCTGTCCTTTAAGAAATTCAGCGTGGCTGAAGGATCTGCGAGTCTTAGTGACCAGGTAAAACAGAAAAGTTTAGTTTGCAAATGTATACTCAAAAGAAACAGGGTGAAACAAAAAGAGATGCTTTGTATACCTATACTGAAAAGTACAATCCTCCTAAACTGCTCCTAAAGTAGGTTTCAGAGTTACTGAAAAATAAAGAAAGCAAAGATACTCTGTGGAAGGCAAACCAGTCTACCGCTCTGAGTTGGAAATAAGAGCTGAAGCCAGTTTTTAAATAATATTTGTATAAAAGGTCCACAGGAAGGCAAGAATATGGAACTCAGAATGAACAGGTCCCATAAAAATCACTGACATGGGCTCCAGCTGAGTCCCTCAAAAGCCTCCTTAGCCTTAAATGCCAAGCTGCAATGACGACCCCGGCTATAAGTCCTAGACTCCATGGCTGCCCGAATCACAGAACATTCAGAATTCCACTCCTCTCCTCTATCTGGTGAGAGAGAAGTAAGGACATGGCTTTATAGAAAAATAATTTTTTAAATCTCACTGGCAATGTTTTTATACCAAATTTATAGGAAAATGGATTAAGGGACCATGTGATAAAAATTTAGAAACAATTCTGGCTTCTCAGAGCCTAATCAAATTTCTCTTCATGAGAGTAATCTCTGTGCAATTCATAAAACACTGTAACTAATTTGTTCTTGCTTAGCCCTTATAAAATTTCCAAAGTTCTAGTTATATCAATATTGTTAGATTCAAAGAAATAGCTAAAAGATTTTTTAAAAACCTTTTTATTAGAAAATAAACAGAAAAGGCCCGAAGCAAACGTAGTATCTAAAAAGAACACTTTCAATACGCCACCATTCCTCAAGAATAACCGTGCCTATATTTACACGTCTGGTGTCTAGACCGGGCTCTTACTATCTGTTGAATGAATGAGAAGCTATTCCTTAAATGTCAAGAAATTAAGATGCAATTAGGGCAGAGAATAAAACAGTAAGTTTATTAGCTACATTATTACCAAGAGTATATCAGACTTTCTAAAATAATTGGCACCAAGAACTCATCGGCCTATTCTTCAAGGTTAAATGTCCTAGAAAGAACTACATGTCTCACATCACGTACACTCAGCTGCAGAACGGTCATGCAGATAAGAATGTTTCATTCACTTAATTTGGCACATACAACCTTTCCACTCTAGCCAGTCTTCTAAATGATTTTCCTGGAAATCTGTGCCTATAAACGACAAGAGTGTAATTTCTGCAGGGATGGCAAGGTGAGAAAGGTGGAGTAAGGCAGAGTGAAGAGGTAAAGTGGAAGGCATGGAGCAGTGATTCAGAAGCATCAGGGCCAAAAGACAGTGTGTGGGAGTTAATGAAGACTTCTTAGAAACATTTACCTCTAGCAGTGCTTGAATGCTAGGAAAGGCTCTACCCCAAATAGAACTGCCCAATTTACTACCCTGTCAATTTCTCACACTGGAATCACTTGGGGGTTCTTATAAAAAAATACAGATCCCTAGGTCTCAGATCTGTGAATCAAAGGTTCTGGACCAGAACCTTTATTCCCAAAGTCCCCAGATTTTATGCAGTTTAAGAAAGTTCCCTTTAACGCTTCACCAGTGCTTGGCTACAGTTATCTGGTTGGTCCAAAATCTCTGAGCCATCCCCTTCTTCCCAATTTTCTGAAAACATGAGTATATCCAGAAAGTGTCAGTATCTTCCACTGATGCAATACAGATAGTTCCCCCACGGTAATATGTTGTCTCAGAATAAAGAGTACCAGGCAACTGAAACAACCCCATCTAGAATGACCTACGTATTCCAAAGCTCAAGTGAGCTAACATCATAAAGTTCTTTGCTTTGTAAACAGTTAAGCAAAGATGAGTGTTAATGCCACTAGTACATTCGATAACCAATCACTCCAGAGTCTTATTAATATTGTACTTCAGTAAATTTCATCCCCTGACACTGTGAGAGAATAGCATACTATCCAAGATAACTTACCGTTCTCTGCTCATCTCCCTCACGTACATGGAATGTATGTTCAAATACCGTATACATGATCCTGCCCAGGCCAAAGGAGGGCTCAATTACATTCGGAACAACTTCTTCCACTGCAAAAGAGATAGAAATCCAGTAACATTCTCTCAAACCCTACATAATGCATTGCGGGTCCTCTCTCAACAATTCTTTTTTTTTTTTTTTTTTAAACATTTTATTTATTTATTTGGCAGAGAGATACAGAGAGAGAACAAGTAGGCAGAGAGGCAGGCAGAGGGAGAGGGAGAAGCAGGCCCCCCGCCGAGCAGGGAGCCCGATGTGGGGCTCGATCCCAGGACCCTGGGATCATGACCCGAGCCGAAGGCAGCCGCTTAACCGACTGAGCCACCCAGGCGCCCAACAATTCTTATTAGCACTAAAAAGATCTCTATTCTAGATGGACTTGAGTGATCCTATACATCAGGACAAAGAAGTCAGAACATTCCTTAAAACTATTTGCTGGTAAGAAATATGATGCCTTGGGGCGCCTGGGTGGCTCAGTCGTTACGCATCTGCCTTCGGCTCAGGTCATGGTTCCAGGGTCCTGGGATCGAGCCCCGAATCAGGTTCCCTGCTCAGCGGGAAGCCTGCTTCTCTCTCTCCCACTCCCCCTGCTTGTGTTCCCTCTCTCGCTGTGTCTCTGTCAAATAAATAAATAAAATCTTTAAAAAAAAAAAAGAAAAAGAAATATGATGCCTTTAAAGAGAAAGCAGGAGTGAAAAAATTTTTCACCGAATTTTTCTTTGTTTATACAGCGTAAAACTGAAACAAGGTACCAGGGTCCCTTCCATAGCATGCCACAGCATACTATGTACACCAAGTATACCACAGTTGGTAAGCTATGAGCAACAGCAGCTACTCCATCAACTACCTTGCCTTGCAGAAAGCATTAGAACTTTTGAGATTTTTTTTAATAGATTTTATTTATCTATTTATTTGACAGAGAGAGACAGCAAGAGAGGGAACACAAACAGGGGGAGTAGGAGAGGGAAAAGCAGGCTTCCTGCAGAGCAGGGAGTCCCATGTGGGACTCAATCCCAGGACCCTGGGATCATGACCTGAGCCGAAGGCAGACGTGTAATGACTGAGCCACCCAGGCACCCCTCAAGCTTTTATAAGACTTTGCTAGAACCAAAAATCTACCGGCATAGCTGGCAAAATTAACAAAAACAATTCCTACACACAAGTATCATATGCTTTGTGTTTTACTTTTTATCTTGCTGTCTTGATGAGAACTCTTTAAGAAAGTCAGGTTACTGCCATTGTACTCCCAAGGTTCTGGGGTCAAGAGGCCCTCAGAGAAGAGTTTACTGGGGGATCTGAACTCAATCAAAGACATTTTACCAGAGGCCTCACATGGGGGAGGCTACACCTGTGGTACAAACAGGAAATGGATTCATTATTACTTATTATTCAGAAAGGAAGGACTGCTAAGCACTGGGTCTAAGGTAACTGACCTTAACCTTGGATAGTTTGTTTCAAGGGAAATGAGATAAGTAGAACCAAAAATTCACCTATGTGGAGGAAAAGAGAGGCTATTTCTTTTGTCTGTGATAAAGAGTAAGAATAACATTTTAGAAATATGACCGAGGCATCTCTTGCCCATCCTTCTGGGTGACCTAAGCCATGGTGAAGTACAGTTCTGAACCAGCTGCCAGAATGGTGGCTAAAAAGCCCCAGAGCAAGAAGGATCCCCTGCTTACTCTGATCACTGCTCAGACGGTCTTTACAGCTCACTGAAGCTTGGCTAGAGGGCAAGCCAAAAACAAATGGAAAAGTAGGCATGCACTCTCCAATAGCAGTAGCTTCTCAAATACCCACCTACTACTCTAAGTTTCCAGAAGCTTCCACTCAGCCACAGTTAACCATAAGCATCCTTTGTATATTTTCCAAAACACTCATATCCCAATGGGCGACTGCCTTCGGCTCAGGTCATGATCCTGGGTTCCCTGGATCGAGTCCCGCATCGGGCTTCCTGCTTGGCAGGGAGTCTGCTTCTCCCTCTGACCCTCCCCATCTCATGTGCTCGCTCTCTCTCATTCTCTCTCTCTCAAATAAATAAATAAAAATCTTTAAAAAAAAAAAAAGCATGAAAGATCACTAATCTAAATGACTTTTTAAAAGGTTAATTTGTCACAAAAGAGTGAAGGGGTGAGTTCTCGCATTTACTTAAAAAAACAAAAGGACATTTCCTTAAAATGGGAAAAAACAAAAAGATGGTTTTAAACAAAGACATACTCTTCATATGCACCTCAGTTCATAGGAAATACAAAGGGGGCATTATAAACTATTTTTCAGTATTAATGCAATTAAAAGTCTTTTTTTAAAAAGGCAAAAGATAATGCCTTAAATATATTCATCAAATTTAGGGTTATGGAATATTATGCAGCCATCAAAAGGAATGAGATCTTGCCATTTGCAACGACGTGGATGGAACTGGAGGGTGTTATGCTGAGTGAAATAAGTCAGTCAGAGAAAGACATGTATCATATGACCTCACTGATATGAGGAATTCTTAATCTCAGGAAACAAACTGAGGGTTGCTGGAGTGGTGGGGGGTGGGAGGGATTGGGTGGCTGGGTGATAGACATCGGGGAGGGTATGTGCTATGGTGAGCACTGTGAATTGTACAAGACTGAGGAATCACGGATCTGTACTTCTGAAACAAATAATGCAATATATGTTAAGAAAAAAAAGAAGAAGAAGAAGAAGATAGCAGGAGGGGAAGAATGAAGGGGAGTAAGTCGGAGGGGGAGACGAACCATTAGAGACGATGGACTCTGAAAAACAAACTGAGGGTTCTAGAGGGGAGGGGGGTGGGGGGATGGGTTAGCCTGGTGATGGGTATTAAAGAGGGCACATTCTGCGTGGAGCACTGGGTGTTATGCACAAACAATGAATCATGGAACACTGTATCAAAAACTAATGATGTAATGTATGGTGGTTAACATAACAATAAAAAAATTATTAAAAAAAAAATTTAGGGTTATGGCCTTAAGTATTTATTTTTCTTCTCCAAATTTTCTATAAAATGGTTATGTCATAAAACTTAAAAAACTTTAAGGAGTAATGATTTTTTGTGTTTGTTTCTTAATTATTTTTACAAACTTACCATGTAGTGTTTTCTGGAATCTCTTCACACTGACCATGTCTTTTGTTAACTGAAATGATTTCCCCTCAGTTTCAATAGTGAATTCCCTACAAAAAAAACACACCACATATTAGTGCAAACATGCATTCCTATCTCTTTAAAGGTGTTTTACCAATTGCTAAACTCTTTTAAGTGTAATACAGGTTGGTCAATTCTCCAGATAAAACAGCTGAAGTCAAATTTAAATTATTTCATAAGGAACACCAAATTAAGTATTATTTTAATAATGGCACCAAATAGTATTCTGGGATGCACCCAAAAATGGCTAGTCTTATAAAATTCCACAAGTGACTCAATTAATAATTCCTTTGGTTTTGAGATCAAAATAAAGCCAAAACCATTTTTAAAAAATTCAATAAATTTGTCAGAAATAGGCCTGCTGGCAAAAAGACCACTGTTCTCATTATTGTCCCCAGAAATGTAAAACTGACCAGCTTGTCATCTTACAGAAGGTAATTTTAAAACCCCCACACTAATTCCAAAATAAACTTTGACACTTATGTTGAAGATCAGCTTAAAGAAGTTTAATGATTCTGTTCGATATGTCAATATAAAACACTGTCCCTCCAAAAATCAATGACTGCGTTAGGTTCATATCCTGAGATATGCCCATTCCACTACTGGTCATAAGAATTCGCCTTTATCAAGTAGGGGTTGTTTTGGCTCACAAGCAGCTCAGTGCCAGGAAGAGAGCCCTCGTGTGGTTGTCTTTAAGCTGTGTGGTTGGCACACCTGACACTGCATTTTGCTAGTTTCTAGCACTGATAATCTCATGCATCATGAGTGGTTTTCACTCACTTCCTCCATTTTTACTATTCTGTCTGAAGTTTGTAAGTGCATTAAAATTCCATTACATAAGCATTATCATATATATTCTGTGAGTACAGTCTAAGTGTAAAGTAGGTAACGGTCATAAAAAAAAAACTGAAATTAGCAAGAAGCCATTATTTGAGAACAATTAATAAAGGAAACTGTCATGTTTATGACAGATAATGGTATCTAGGGCTCTAACTTGTCCATTTTAATGACATTTGATGTTGTTTTAACATAAATAGATGTTAATTCTGGGAGACCAGAATGCTTTAAAATTTTCCTACTGAAATGGACAATCATTACCTTCAACTTGTTACAAGGGTTCATCTTATAAAACTTCTCTTGACAATGTTCTCAGGCAACCACCATCACCCCAAGGCTCCATTTCAATCTCCTCCACTCCCAGTCAACTAATGATGTGCTTTCTACCACTATAAACTCGATTCATCTTTCCTAGTTTTACATATAATCTTTTGTGTCAGACTTCTTTCACTTTGCCTATTGTCTAGGGCCAGATATGAACTATTTCACGGTTTGCAGGCCATATGCAGTCTCTCGTATTTTCTGCTTTATTATTTTTTAGTCTCTTGTATTCTCTGCTTTATTGTTTTTTTACTTTTATTTTTTTAAAGAGTTTATTTGAGAGAGAGAGAGGGGAGAGAGAGAGAGCACGAGCAGGGGAAAGTGGCAGACGGAGAGGGAAAAGCAGACCCCCTGCTGAGCAGAGAGCCCAACATCGGCCCCAGGATCATGACCTGAGCCAAAAGCAGATGCTTAACTGACTGAGCCACCCAGGAGCCCCTTCTTTGCTTTTTTAAATGACACTTAGAAAATAATGCAAAACTCAGTTGGAGGGCTGCACAAAAAAACAATATAAAAGATTTTACAAGTTCACTTAAAAAACTGTACTCTTCAGTTATTAGGTATTCTATAAATGGCAATTAAGTTGATTAATAATGTTTATATCTTCAAACTCCTGTTTCGTTTTTGTTTGGTCTCCTCACTCTATCAATTACTGACAGAAGGGTGTAGAAATCTGACTGTAATTGTGGATTTGTCTATTTTTCCTTTCAGTTCTGTCAAGTTTGCTTTATATATTTTGAGGTTGTTTTCAGTTGCATACAGTTAGAAGTAATATGCCTTCTTGATGAACTGATCCCTTTAACATTATGAAATGTAACTCTGTCTCTGGCAATTTCCTGTGTTCTGAAGTTGACTTTACCTGATATTAATAGAGCCACTCCTAACTTAATGATTAATATTGGTATGGGAAACATTTTTTGATTCTATTATGTTTAAGCCTATTTGTGTATTACAATTACAGCAAATTTCCTGTAAACAGCATTTAATTGGGTCTTGATTTTTTTAACTAGTCTGACAATCGATGGCTATTAATTCGTGTTTAGATAATTACATTTAATATAATTATTGATACTGCTGACTTTAAATCTAACACCTCAAGAGTTACTTTCTATTTGTCTCATCTTTTCTTTGTTCATTTTTCCCCTTCTCCTGCTTTCTTCTGGAGTATTTTTTATTATTCTATCTCCCTTACTGGTTTATTATTTAGTTTTTGTGTGTTTTTTCCAGGTAATTGCTCTAGAGTTAACTATATGTACTTTTTCAAACTTATCAGAGTCTACCCTCAAAAGTATTATGCTATTTCACATGTAATGTGAACGTGTGCACCTTCACATGAACGTAATGTGTGCACCTTACAACAGTATATTCCCAATTCTTTGCTCTCATCCTTTGAGTTGCAGATGGCATATATTTTACTTCTACGTTATAAATTTCACAATATATTGTTACTGTTTTTGCTTTATTTTTTTAAGATTTTATTAATTTGAGAGAGAGAGAGAGAGAGAGAGCACAAGCGGGGGGAGGGACAGAAGGAGAGGGAGAAGCAGACTCCCCACTAAGCAGGGAGCCCAACTCAGGGCTCAATCCCAGGACCCTGGAATCATGACCTGAGCGGAAGGCAGATGTTTAACCGACTGAGCCACCCAGGTGCCCTTGTCTTTGCTCCTTCTAACGTAATGAGTCTTTGTTCCCCTGGCTACTTTAAAGACTTTTCTCTTCATTTTTGGTTTTCAGCAATTTAAGTCTAATGTACCTTCATGTGGTTTTCTTTGTATTTATTCTGCTTGAGGTTGAACTTCTTGAATCTGGGTTTACAGTTTGCATCAAACTTGGAAAATTTTGACCTATCCTATGTATCTTCAGATATTTTCTCCGTACATCCTCTCTGTGACTCCTGATTACACATATGTTAGATTGCCTCATATTGATCCAAAGGACATCTTTTCCCCAGTCTCTTTTTTTCTATGCTTCCCTTTGGATAGTTTCTATTGCTATGTCTTTAAATTCAATGATCTTCCTTCTGCAATGTTTAATCTACTGTTAATCCCAGTTGGTGAATTCTCATTTGCAACACTGCCTCTAGATGTCTGCTGGTTCTTTTTTTAATATATATTTCCATTTCTCACCTCATATGTTCATGTTTTCCCTTATATCCTTGACCATATGAAGTATATTTATTACTGTTTTAACATCCTTATGTGTTTATTCCATCATGTTTGTCACTTCTAGGTGTTTCTTTTGACTGACCTCCTCAATACGGGTCACGTTTTCGTGCTTCTTCATATGCTTAGAACTTTTTTTTTAAGTAGACTCCACGCCCAGCGTGGAATCCAAAGTGGGGCTTGAACTCACAACTCTTGAGATCATGACCTGTGCTGAGATCAAGAGTCAGACACTTAACTGACTGAGCCACCCAGGCACCCCTATTTATGCTTTTTATTGTTTGTCAGACATAGTAAATTTTACATTGTTTAGTACTGGATTTTGTCATATTTCTTTATAGATCTGTCTCTATTATCTTTATATTGATGCTTAAAACAATTACAGAGACCACTCCAAAGCTCAAAAAAAAAAAAAAATAGAAATGAATGAGAGAATGTCATTTCTAATTATTCCTCAGTCACTTCCTTAGACAAAACTCCTCCTCTAGGAAAGTTACTGGGGGAAAAAAAAGATCATTTCAAATCTATTTCCAGGCTATAATGCCAGAATCTCAGCAAACACAGTTCTTTAAATATAGAGATGATACTTACCTGCAAAAAATGTCTAAAGAAACTGATCTTACCCTTTCAGAATCTGCAGAGAGGACGTATCTAAGTGGAGCCCATATAAAAGCACACATCTTAAATCTTACCCTTTTTCATTCAGTAGTTTCTCCATTTCTGTAATGTAACACTCATCACAAACAGCCAGGTACTCCAGCACCAGCTTTGCATCCTTCTTATATGCCTTACCAATTGCTCCCTTATTGGGTTCAAACTGAACAACACTGACTGTTTTGTATGAATTAGTCAAGGAACCAAAAAACACAGAGAACTGCCACAGTATTTCGGAAAACGATCTTGAGGACAATTCATCATCAAATTAAAACAATGACTAGTTCTCCACTGGCATCCTAGATCCTGTTTATACTGACTTCAAGTGTCCGATGAAATAACTACCCACAAAATCATCAGACAAACCTCACCGAAAATAAGTAAACACTGTCAACAGAGACTTCTACAAAGTTACAATGAGATAAAAAGGATATTATTCTAAGCAGCAACATAACCTGATACACAGCATAATTACCTCTACTTAACCATTTACTGATTTCTGAAATGTCCCAAACACAACAGGATCTACTTTCTGTCACTGGCCTAGCCCTAAGATGAGTTCATGACCTCACTGCCTGCTAAAGAATGGAAATTTCTTTGCTGATTTACAGATTAAGTGAGCTAAATTATTAGTTCATCTACCATAAAATGGCATTCATCTTTTCATAGAGAAAGTATTCACCAGGTGCCCTTTATTTAAAGAGCACGTAGGTAGGTGCAGGTGTGGAGAAATGTATTGTGGAAATAGCTGAGAATAACTGGCCAACACTCGGAAAGACATTCAGAGCACTTTTCTGAATATGCTTCTTTTAAAGACCAAACAATGGGTGGGTATATCAGATTACAAAAAAAGAGACTAGGAAAGGAGCAATGAGATGGGTAGAATAATAGGTTTAAATAAGTGTTACCACAATATCCAAAACATCTCAGTTTATCCACAGAATGTGTAGACTTGGATTTATCCATTTTCAAGATGTTTACACTTTAGACCTGAGTTGCTGAAGTGACCAGAAAGGATATGGGCTCTTTCAGAGGTTTCTCAGCTACAAGTGGGACTTTGGTGGCTCGAGCATGACAAGAAAGGTCGTAACAGGAACGATCAGCACATCCGACAATCTCAATCCAGCCCTAAGAAGACATAATAGATAAAAACACTTATTGCACTGGGTTCATTCACAGATGCATGCAGATTGTTAAGTAATTTTCACATACCCAAAGATAATTTATTATAGCATCTCCACTCAACTTTTATAAATGTTTGAAATGGGAGTAGTTCTATACATCAGGCAGATAACAAACCTATAAAATATAATTCACACATGTACACAAAGTTGTCTTATTTTCTGGGCAGATTTATTTTACCATATTGTGAATGTGGGGTAAACTAATATAGTATAGGATTTAATTATGGAAATAAAATGTGAACCTAGACAAAACCAGGAAATATGTCTCAAATTTGAGGCCAGGATTCAAAATCAATCTAGCAGAAACCACTACTCTCTTTGGATGAAGTGTCTATTGATCTCACAAACTGGCATCAAATGGCTGTGCTAAACACACACCTCAGCTGACCACGAACGTGGGCATTTGTGTTCAGTTCAGTTTCTTACACAACAGAAGAGATCTCAATAAAGAGCAGGTAACATTTAAGTCACAGAATAAAACTTAACAGCAACACCACCACATAGATGTTAAAGGCTTATTTTAGTAGATATCTAGTTAGTCCTCATGAATATTTGTATTTTGCCTTTGGTCCAAAGAGTATGAAAAATTGCAACTGTCACAACTACTAAGCTTTCCAAGCACATTACCACATGGGATGCATGAACTAAAGAGGGCAAATATAAACCTCACAAGCTCAGAAACCCCAACACATAACAACAAAACAGAAATTAAAAGAATGAAACCGAAAATCATGTCACTTGATCATCTGACATGCACTGAAGATGTCAACATATTTATGTACTAAAAGGTAAAATTACAAAACACGTCCAAGAACGGCAAGTAACAACTCTGGGATAGTGGTTAACTCTGAGGAAGAAAAGAAGGGTGAAGCATTAGCTGCCTCAGTGACTTTTTTCATTAAAAAAATAAAATATGAAGCACACAAAAAGGAAGTGTTCGTCTTTTCTTGAATGCAGGGACTGTCTAATTTCTATTTATCAGACTATTCTACTGATGGAATGCTTCAGATAGGGGAGGGAAGCTCTTTACCTGTTTTATTTCCCTGATTTAAGTGAGTGAGAAACAAGTCTCCTTTGTTCTCTTAGGCTGCAAAGGAACAACTTTGATAAGGTTTTGGCATTTCCTTCGCTTTATAAAACATGCTCAGCAAACGGCACCAGTTGTCTACAGTTTGGTAAACTGTTAACAATTACGACATTTTATAAAGCAACTAGTTTAACAAAATCACTACTGTGAGGACTTAAAACAATAAAAAGTCTTTAAAGGAGTTCTTCCCTCTCCTTGAAAGTTCCTGTTACCTTCGAGCTTCTGGTTTTGTTTAGTTTCCCAATGACCTTATGTAAAATGTTGTAGCCTAATCTCAATGCTGGGCCCACATCTCCCTTTTTTCAATTTTATCTTTAATTAAAAAAAAAAAATGTAGGTACAATTGACATGAAACATTATGTTAGTTTCAGGTATGCAATATAATGTTTCAGTATTTGGAGGTAATGCAAAATGAGCACCATATTAAGTCCAGTTAACATCCAGCACCACACCTGGTTCCAGAACTTAAAGGACCTACTCTCTTAGCAGCTTTCAAATACACAATACAGCATTATTAACTATCGTCACCATGATGTTCATCACATCTGCAAGACTGAGGCCCACATTTTCTGATTCTCAGTACTTGATGATTTAGCCACAGCTCACAGTGGCACTCAGAAAAGCATGAGCAGGAATGCTTTTCATTTTACAAAAATGAGTCATTTTTATTTCTAATTTTTAAAAATGAATCTATTAAAGCAATGTAGCACAATGGTTAAGAGCACGGGCCTGGAGTGAGACAGCCCTGGTTCATTCCCCAGTTCTACCACTCACTGTGAGACTCAAGCAAATTGCTTAGCTTCTCAGCACTTCGGTCTCCTCAGAAATAGGACCTATGATGAGGATTACACAAGATACTACATATGAAGCATTTAGAATGGAAAGCACAGTCCTTACCAAATATACATGTTGAATGAACAAACAAATGAAAGAAATAAAATGTAATCCAGGCCACACTCAGAATCTCAAGTGAGACAGCAAGAATCCATGTCTGCTTTAACAAAATTAGTCAGAGCAAACTAAGAAAGGGAACTGGTATGGAACAAAGAGAAAAGAAATAATCTTTTCTCACACAACATAGAAAATATTTTATTGGTTTGATGTGCAAATACGAAGAAATTCCAGAAAATTTAAAACATGTAAAGAAATTAATATTCATCTATAATCCAAAAATAACGACTATCATTTTGGCGTACATCAAGCAAGTCTGTGAGGAAAATAAAGTAACAAGAAAAACCTAACAGCTTATAGAGATTCTTTCCTAAATCCACAGAAGAAAAAGAATATATTTAAAACAACATCAATAACAGCCACTACAGCTATCTGCATACCATTATGCATATATACATGCATATATGTTTGTAATGTGTGTAAAGCCATCTAGAACAGTGGCTAAAAAAACCCATGGGGCTAAGAATGGTTTTTATATTTTTAAAGGGTTGTAAAAAAAGAAAGAAAGAAAGAAACAACAACAAAGAAGCAACAAAAATCTGCAAAGCCCACAGTATTTTTACTACATTTACTATAGAAAACATGTGCTAATCCCTGATGCAGAAGAGATGTGAACAACTTTTGGGGAGATGTATACAAATGGAAGTTTCACTTTCTACATAATATTCTTCAGAATTACTTTTTGCTTTTCATTTTACAAAAATGAGTCATTTTTATTTCTAATTTTTAAAAATGAATCTATTAAAAGAAAGTCATTTTGAAAAGTAAAGAGTGAAACTAAGGGCACATGGGAACGAATGACTGTCAAAAGTCACCGAAGAGCCTCTCTAGCACCAAATAAGGAAAATGCCAGGAGGCTCTCAGGCCCCTTGTTCTGGATGCCACTTGTTCCCACTGCTACCAGGGCAGAAAGCATCTTCTATATCCAAATGTCTTTTTTTAACTTTTTTTTAAAGGTTTGTTTATTTTTAGTAATCTCTACACCCACTATGGGGCTCAAACTCACAACCCTGAGATCAAGAGTCGCATGCTCTTCTGACTGAGCCAACCAGCCAGCCCTCCTATACCCAAATGTCTGTCAATCCTAAGCTCCAGTATGAATGTTCATGTTTGGGAGGTGGGGGTGGTAAGGTACAGTGAAATCGGTAGCCGGGAGGTCTTCCCTGAATTATTATTAATACATAGAATTTGAGAAAAGGTAGTTCCTAAACAAGAGATCATAACTACTAGTCTACCACCAAAACCTAACAAATAGCTCTCTAAACAAAGAGCACCATGTCTTTCTTTACTCAGCCCTGCCACCATTTCCAACATTTGCTAGGGTCCTTGACAGGAAGGAGGCCACCCCAACTTAGCTGCATCCACGGATATTAGCCATGACACTGCCCAGCCCAGGAATGTACACACCAGCACTGCCCCATCATTGACCTTCCCTCTCTGTCTCTCTTACTCTCGGTCTCTGTAAAAGCCATCTAAGTCTACAAAGGGCTATTGAGACACAAGAGTAACCTGTAACCCCCTCCTTGTAAGAGGGCAGGGGATAACTGCTTTTTCCATTTTGCTTTGGAAAAGACCTCTTTTCTCTTCGTTGCTCTCTGACATACAGCACACAAAAAGCAATTCTGATATCCATGCTCCTAAGTTAACAGTGAAGATCACATGCTAACAAGACTTCCATTCTCCTTACATAGGATGTTTTAGATTCGGCATCCCAACAGTCACAGGCGTAGTGGGCCATCTCGTTCTCCATATGCTGGCGGAAGCGGAGTTTATCTGGAGATACTCCAACCTTCGTGAGATAGAGGTAGATGCGGCCAATGAAGTAGCCTAATACTGAGTTGTTAATCACACCCTAAAAATCAATGAGTAAACCAGTTAGTAAATAAATAAGCAAGCAAATATGCAAACAAGCACAGAAGGAAAAAATACACATTCTTTCGAAGGCCAATGTACCATTTTTGATTTATTCACATTCTACTGAAAAATATTTGAAACACAAGGTAAGCTAATTTATCCAGCTTTCAGAACAATCTCAAATACCCAGAATGTGATTGTGGCTATTTTTAAATGGGTTAATGTCAAGTTAACAAGCTCATAATAACAGTCATTGAAAATCTTTCTGCCATATTCACTGGGTCAGCAAAACTTCAGCCCAATACCTCATACCTTCTAAATCTACAGTACTAAAAATGCCATTCATAATAATGACCCTACAGAGGGGCAGATATATTTCTTCTGAATTAACAAAAGTAATAAGACATGTGGAAGGGGATTTTAATGTATCCTTACCTACTGAAGTTTGTGTACCCCATATTGTATATGTCATCTTCTGATTCCAGTACCAGAAGGATCTTAGAAATCATCTAGCCCCATCTCCTACCCACTGTAGGGCTCTTCTCTGCAAAATGGCTGTCAAATTATCACCCAGCCTCCACTGGAATATGTTCAGGGACAGGAAGCTCATTGTTCCCTGGGGCGATTCATTCCATTATCAGGCAGCAGCGACTATTAGAAAGTTTTCACGCACTCACTTCTCTAGACAAATGATTAGAGAAATACTATCCTATGCAAGACTTTATCCCAACTGCTATGGGTAATACATAAAAGATTAAAATCCAGAGGACTTGCTTTTGGTGAGTCAAAATGTCCCCCCAAAAGGAGTACATATTGATAAGAGTTGGATTGATAGGCCACAGTTCAAAGATCTTTTTTCCAAGTGCTCTGCTAAATATCTTATTCATGTTGGCCCCCTGGCCTACAAATGGGCATGTTCACATACTTTCCTCCCACTATAATAACAGTGTAGGATAAATACTGTATAAAAACAAACAGTATATAAAAAATAAAATGACTGCTAAAATAAATATTTTGTTATCTAGGACACAGAATTTGCTAAGTGCTGCAGACCCTAAATCGGAATAACCTAAATGAAATTACCTATGGCATCTCACCTGTTCAACAGCATCTCCTAGGCGCATTTTTCGAGCAGACTGTCCGCTGACCTGGGCTTTTGCTGAATACAAATAAAGGTGGAGGTCTGCCACATTCTGAAACTTGGGATGGTCCTTCTCACTGGGATCTACAAAGTGCTCAATTTCTGCCATTGTGAATTCTCTGGAAGCAAAAATATAAGGGATAAAAGTTGCATGCTTTACTATAAAAAATAAACAAGGCCCATATCTTCAACTTTACAATGATATAGGCCCTCATACTACAGGAATCTCTTATCACTAAACCAGAAAATTGTTTCCTAAGGGAATGGCAGAAGAAAAAAAAAGAAAAGAAAAAGAAAAAAAGTTGGATTAAATTTGTCTGGGTGGCTATCTTTTTTAAACATATTAATGAAAACTTTACAACTCACTTGAATAGTATTTTAAATAAATAAATACAATCAAACTTTCCCCAAATATTAACTTTTTTTTTTTTAAGATTTTATTTATTTATTTGACAGAGAGAAAGACACAGCGAGAGCAGAGCACAAGCAGGGGGAGGTAGGAGAGGGAGAAGCAGGCTTCCCGCTGAGCAGGGAGCCCGATGTAGGGCTCGATCCCAGGGTCCTGGGGTCATAACCTGAGCCAAAGGCAGACACTTAACGACTGAGCCCCCCCAGGTGCCCTCAAATATTAACTTCTGTCCTATGACAAAAATTCTTTGCTTGCCCAAATTTTAGTCAGTGCCCTGAACCTCCTCCTAGGCCCATCTGTATACTTCTTTATAAAATCCAGTTTTAGCAAGAACCCTGATTAAGTCAGTTTAACCAGAATCACCCTACCCCACCCCTTGCTATGTGATCACCTCTGATATCTTTTTTGGGTTTGTCATCCTCCACCATCCCCCAGGTGGTATTTGATCACCCTGGCTTGTCTCCAGCAACATCCCCTCAGGTTAGTTTAGCCAAAATCCCCCTTGCCTTGCCCGATGGTCCCTTTAAGTAGTTTTCTAGCCAATGACCCCGCTTCACCCCATGCCTTGGCTAAAAATCCTTTCTTGCCCGTGCTATGTTCAAAATTGAGCCCGGTTCCATACTGAGATCTCTTTCCCCCCACTGCCTACTGCAATAGTCTTTTTTTTAAGATTTTTTTTTTTTTTATTTGACAGAGAGAGACACAGCGAGAGAGGGAACACAAGCAGGGGGAGTGCGAGAGGGAGAAGCAGGCTTCCCGCCCAGCAGGGAGCCCAATGTGGGACTCAATCCCAGGACCCTGGGACCATGACCTGAGCCGAAGGCAGACGCTTAACAACTGAGCCACCCAGACGCCCTCCCCTACTGCAACAGTCTTGAATGGAATCTGTTTCTACCACCTTAACTACCGTCCATCTGTTTTTCCTTCCACTAGCCACAACAACAAAAGATTATTACTTTCAATGGAAAATAATTTTTAAAGAACAGATAGTTTTTAATATTAGGAAAACTTAAGCAAATGTCAGACACAAAAAAGAAATGAGATACTGAATAGTGACTTCCAAATAAAATGATTTTCCTTATAGCACTAGCAAGTCTTTGTAAATATATACTAAATGAAGTTTCCAATATTTCCTTTTCCAAGAATGGGAAATTAAAAGTGAAGTGAAATTGTTCTTTAGCTTTTATAGTAGTTTGGTTTCTTCCTTTTTATTGCTCTGAACAAGTAAATGACTGATAATGGCACCATACAGCTGGCTTCTTTAGAGTAACAGCTTCTTTTTTTTTTTTTTTTAAAGATTTTATTTATTTATTCATGAGAGACAGAGAGAGAGAGGCAGAGGCAGAGGGAGAAGCAGGCTCCCCACGGAGCAGGGAGCCCAATGCGGGACTCGATCCCAGAACCCTGGGATCATGACCTGAGACTGAGCCACCCAGGCGTCCCAGAGTAACAGCTTCTTGAATAAAGTGTTATTCATGGCAGAGGACATAAGACGTGAACTGAACAGGCTAGCATCAAGCTAACTGCATAATAATGAAATAAATATGCATATAGTAATGGTTTCCCAAAGAGATTTCTCTGAATGGCAATTAAGTAGCTATTGGGGGAAAAGTGTTTTAAGTTAATTTTATGAGTCAAAATCAAATCTCTCTTCTTTAAACACACTCCCCCACATACATTTACTAGTGCACTTTCATGATTATCTCAGATTTTTTAAAAACAATGAAAAGTTGCTTAAATGAGACCTAAAAATACATGAAATGCATGGCAAAAGAGCTCTAATTTTTAAACTTTATTTTTTAATAGTATTTCTTACTTGGTCCTATAGCACCTATATCTTGTCTTTCAACCACTATCAAATGTCTTCTGTGTGCACAGAAATAGGACAGAGACAAAGAAGCACAATGTCTGTCCTCGCATATCTTATGGTGTGGTGGATAGCAAGAGAACATCTAAAATGCAAAGCATATCAAAATAAGGGCCCTGCCTAGAATCCCAAAATAATCTGCTGCCAAAGCCTTTCCATCTGTTCTGTCAAATAATCCCAGCTCACAGACAGGAGATGGAAATCAACTCTTAACAGTGATTCTACCAGTGGTCTCTTGTCTTTGAGTTCAGACACTGTACCTGAACCATGGAGAACTACAATACATGTAGTCTAGATGACAGAACAGCCAATCAAAATAAAAACAAACTTTTAAAAATTACATATGAACAGTCTAATACTCCCAACCTAAATAAAATAAATCACAGCCATGCAAAGACTAATCACCTGATAACTCTATAAATCACAACACTAAACAAATCCTAGCCCTATCCATGGAACAAAAACCATGGGGATACTGGCTCATGGAAGAATGAACGGACTTCTAGTCAGGATCTTAGAGATGCATATAACAAAAACCAGCCAGAATCCAGACAGGATGCTTTAAAGTGGAAAATGACCAAAATAAAAAATGTCCAGGGAAGCCCCACGGACCTTTTACCAGTTAACTCCTAGGATCACTCCTTAGTTCTGAGTTGCTTTTTTGACTTACCACTTTCTATTCCACAAGCCCCAGGTTTTGCCTTACTTTGTGGTCCTTTTATAACTTCCAAGAGCTACTCTATGTTATATAAATCCTCTCCAAAACACTGGCTTTAGACAAAGTCAGTCTTACCAGGCTTTCTCAGTATTTTGAAAGCATGCTTGAAGACACTACTGGAACAGATGGAAAGCCAAAAAACAAAAGGAAAAAGAGAGACAGAAAAACCCAGACACCAGGAAGTAAAACAGACTCAAGCCTGATAAGTTTTTCCATTGTTATTATAGCTGGTTAAAGTTCTGACCACCTCTTCTTTCCACACAAAGGCCCAAGGGAATCCCTCCCACCCCATTTCTCTAAGTTGTGCAAGCCCCTTCCTCTGTGTAGTTCCCCGTTTCTTGACCAGAAGGCTGAACCAATCACAGGCCTGAAGGAACAGTTTGGTCAATACATAGGGGCATTTCCTCAGTGGGTGTCATGGAGACTAACAAGATTAGGCAGGTGCTTTGGGTGCTTTGATGTGGAGTCAGTGGCTGGGATATGCTATGACTGAAGTCTGTAATTATAATGAGTAAGAAAAGAGAGATGGGTGGGGTGGTGGGGCTGTGGAAATCCTTCTGGAGTCTAAGATAGTTAAGTTTACCTACATATCTTATTTTTTATGTGGAATTTATTTCACCAAGAGATGATATCAGTAAGAAAATACAGAGAAATCACAAAAAGCTCAAGTCAAAAGCAGCTAAATCACAGTAAGTTTCTAAAGAAAACTGTAACTAAGTGCTAATATGACCTCCCACACATTCCTGGATATATCTGGCAAAGGGAGGTTATTAGAATAGAGACAAGTGAGCAGACTAAAGTAGACAGAAGCAAGCCTGCTAGCTGGCCTGTCATATAGGTGCCTCAAATGTCTGGAGGAATGTAAACTGGTTACGGAAACACCCCCAGCCCAACTCCAGCACTGCTGTTTGCCCTGGACACCCAGCATGACGCTCCCCTACTGTCACCCTGGCCCACCTCACCCTACACTTACACATATCACCACTGCCAGAAAATGCCTTGGTTTAGACAATCAAGATCCTACCATCCTCTAAACATATGACAAACAAGGGGGAAAGATCATTTTGGAGCAGGTGAGAAACGTGATCTATTCTTCATCTTCCTTCCTTCCTTTCCCTTCAAGTTCTCATTAGTTACTCACAACTACCTGATGTCCCAGAGATTACAAACATAAAGCATCATCTTTTGGAGGACAAAAATAAAGACATGGTCATGTAAGAATGAAGCAGAATTGTCTCAACATAGCAAGGTTCCCTTTCCCATTCAAAGCCGAGTTCACAAATTTTACTGGAAGAATAATATGGGCAGTACCTGACTCTGATCAGTCCAGATCGAGGGGAGATCTCATTTCTAAAAGAATTTCCGATCTGGGCAGCAGCAAAAGGCAACTTTCCTTGGTTGAATTCCAAAAGTCTCTTGAAATTCAGGAAAATCCCCTGTGCGGTTTCTGGTCTCAAGTACCTATAAATTTAAATAAATCAGTCTGTTAGGAGGAAAGAAATTAAGTTTTCCAAAAATCTGAAACCCTAGATATAAATCCTAAAAGTCCGAAATATACTATTTTCACACAAAGCGGTATATACATGCTCTAAAGCAAAGGAGTAGGAGGAGTAGACATTTTCCTTGGTACCAAACATTCTCAAGCAAGTGCTAGAGAACGTATCAAGCAACTGGTACGGCAACACTACTATTAGAAATGTCATTTTATTTCATCAGTCCAGTGAGTCAAATACCACCTCTCTCTTAATGTCCCTAAAACCTGATTAATCATTTAACAAGGAGGCAGACAACAATTCAGATCCTTCTGAAAATAAGACCCTGCCTAATTACATGTCTATTAACCCACATATTAGAGCGTAATTGTGTGGCTACAAAGAAGCCAGTATGGGCTCACACTCAGCATTAGATGCATGAGTGCATCACAATCATCACAGTAGGCTAGGCAAATTTCAAGGTTTTTCCTATCATTTTCTCCTTTGTGGGATTCTACATTTCCAGCCAGAGGCTTCTTCTCTTTTTCTCCATATTTTAAAGATATGGCCAAGCAAATACACCATGATAGCCACTGTCCTCTTCTCAGTTTTACAGAAAATATTCTTTGCAAAAACAACAACTAAGAAAGCTTTCCCAGCAGCTTACTTCAAAATAGATAGTTTATGATTAAAACAAAGAAAAAATAAAATACAATTGTACCCTCTTTTCACTCTAATACACCAACTCCTCATTCTGGTGGTCCTTTCCAGATTTCATCCAAAAGAAGTGTAACTACAGTTTCACACGCATTTTTTAAAAAAGCTGTAAGACTTTTAAATTTCATTTATTTATTTATTTTTAAGTAGACTCTACACCCAACGTGGGGCTTAAACTCATGACCCCAAGATCAAGAGTCACGTGCTCCACTGACTGAGCCAGCCAGGCACTCCTACGTGCATGATTTATAAGTAGGGTGTGTAAAATTATGTATTCTTTATTTTTCCATTTTCTAAATAATCATAATAATTTCTCATATTTGACAGTTGCAGACTATTCTAAAACAATCTATTATAATTTAATCATCTCAAATTTTTGGATAAATAGGTTATTTCCACTTTAAATTTATATGCTCTTGATAAATATAGCTTCCTTTCCTTTTGAATTATTTCCTCAGATAAATTCCCAGGAGTGGGATGACAGGTCAGAGGGTCTGGCCCATTTAATGACTCTCTGTATGTACTGCCAAAATGAAAGGCTTATCTTTGGCCTCTTTCCATAAAATATCCCAAGTCAACACAGTGTGTGACTAAAATAATTCTAGTCATACATTCTGTCACAATTCATTCTTACTATTCTTTAGTTTCTACTCAAGGAAACATGATCTATCTAGCTTCATCTTACAAAAGCCTACCCTCAATTACCCTACAATGAGACCATAAGAAAAATATCTGAAGTTATGAAGTACAATACTTTGGCTAAGTTTGTTAACATTGAGAAGGAATCTGTAAATAAAAATTCTAGTTCTGGATCATATTGTAAACTGCTCAGCTTTCTTTTCTATGAAAACCACATCTTTTAAATAACAAGCTAAACCTATGTTGTTCAGTATGGTAGGTCAGTAGTCAAATGCCTAAATTTAAATTAATTAAAATTAAATACATTTTAAAGTTCAGAAGCACTAACGCCATTTCAAGTGCTCAGTAGCCACATGTGGTTAGTGGCTACCACACTGGACAGCACAGACTACAGAACATTTATACCACTGCAGAAAGTTCTACTGGACAGTGTTGATCTAGACTGAATGGTTTCTAAGTCTCCTTCAGCAATAAGTTCAATGACTTTCAAAATCATTCTTCAACTATCTCTCCTGCCCTATACAGCTATCACCACAAGGTATGACGATCAGACTTCTGTTTATTTTGTGGCAAAAAAAAAATGGTAACATACACTAAAAAAAAAAATACATTCAGAAAGAATTAGAAGGAATAAATTTAAGAATATGTCTGTTATTATTTCTCCTTTAAATATTTATCTGTACTTTCTAGGTATCATTTTTCAAAAATTTTCCTTCATGGCTGATTTGATGTTTACTTTTTATTACAACAATTTCAGTAACTTCATTACATAAAGAATAAGTGATACATACCCAGGCATGTTTCCTCCAGGCCCAATGAAGGTCTTGAACATTAAGTTAAAAGATACTGGAGGGGAGAGATCATTTCCAGTAATGGGGGATTTTACATTATAGTTCACAAAAAGATCTCCTAGTTCCTGCTGTCCATAGTTATCAAGCTAAAGGATAAGTAAAGAAAATAATTAACATAAAAGACTGAGAAAAAAACAGAGCATAAAAGTATTATATATAAAAAACCCATCCATCATTAAAAGTCACCCAAAATAAGAACATCAAAGTTACTCTAACCTTCAAAAACCCTAACTAAAATCATAACCAGTTCACTTTCCGTTTATCAATTTACCATTTACCATCCCAGAAAAATGGAATATCTTTCTGGGACTGACCTAAAACTCATACATTCACCATTTCACAAGGAAACATAAAGAAAAATATCTCTGGTTCAACTATAATAGTTACTGATTGGCAAGAATCTGAAATCATATAAATAAGTTTTTTTTTTTTAAGATTTTATTTGTCAGAGAGAGATACAGAGCACAAGCGGGGTGGGGGGAGCACAGAAGGATAAGCAGATTCCCCGATGAGCAGGGAGCCCGATGCGGAACTCGATCCCAGGACCCTGAGATCATGACCTGAGCCAAAGACAGACACTCAACCGACTGAGCCACCCAGGCATCCCATAAATAAGTTTCCAAAGTTGCATTTTACCACTCTGCATATTTAAGAGTCAGGTACACTTCCCTGTCTATTAATTAAATGTGCATAAAACTTTTCTATCCCACTAAATATTAAGGTCTTGAAGGTAGAAACTGTTTCTTATTCATGTCTGCGTGTTCCAGTGTATTGCACATTTTATACATTGATAACCAACATGAAACCCTCTAAAATGATGTAAGACCTCCAATTTGAAAATTTCAAATGACTATGACAAACCATCTAATACGGAAGAACATTCAAAACTTAAAAAAAAAAAAAAAAAAACTCCTAATAGAAGCAAAATAATTACATACGTCAACTCATGACCATAAGAACTGAGGCTCTGGAGTCAGCAAAACCTGGCTAAACCGCCCAATTCTACCACTTACAGCTTGTGTGACTCAAGAGTTAAGTTCTTATCTAACCTCTCTGAGCCTCAATTTGCTTGTCTGTGAAATAAGGAAGCAGCATCTACTTCACTCTGAAGGTTAACTATGTGAAGTACTTAGCACAGGGCTTGGTACACAGCACACACTACACCACTTACTAAGTGTCTTGCCAAAATATCTGATTGGCCCTCTAGGTCGGATTACCAAATTATCATATTGAAACAGAGGAACATGTGAAATATCACCAAAATAATGCAATCAGCCAAATCCAGATAGTAGAAAGCACTAAGAAACAAATGTCTCAACTTTAATGAAAATACAAGGAAAATTAGAGATAAAGACCCTAAAGATTGAGACTTAAGAAATATATCAACCACTCACAAAGTATGGACTTTAACTGGATCCCAATTCAAACAAAAAAAAAAAAACTGGTTAGCATTTAAGGCAATGTAATAAAATGATGTTTTAGATGTACTTCAAAATAATTCTGGAGAAGGCAGGAAAGGAGAGAATGGATTCAACAAAATGTGGTAACATTGTAGCAGGTTCATGGGTACATAAGTATTTATTATACTATTTTCTATTTGCATATGTTTTGAATTCTTCATAACAAAAAATTAAAAAATGACTTAAAAACTGGTACATGCAGAGGTGGGTCAGCAAAAATGGACAAAGAAAAACAGTTCTGAGCTGCTGAATCCACATAACAGGAATAAAGCTCTGCCTACCACAGAGGGTGAATCAGTGCCTTTTAAAGAAACTACCATGCTAAAATAAAGCTGAAAAGGAGTCACAGGCACTATCAGGTAGAGAAAATGCTATTATTTGCTCAAGCAAACAGATGGGTCTTTGGCCATGAATCCACCAGGGCCATTTCTGAGTATTAAACCACAGTCCCCAACTTTTCACTGAAAGTTACATTGACAGCTTGTATGTATATCTGATATGGCAAATCAAAAAAACAGACTGCTTTCTGGGGTGCCTGGGTGCTTCAGTTGGTTAAGCATCCAACTCTTGATTTTGGCTCAGGTCATGATCTTAGGGTCATGAGACAGAACCTTGTTTTGGGCTCCTGCATTGGGCTCCACGCTGGGAGTGGAGCCTGCTTAAGATTCTCTTTCTCCCTCTCCCTCTCCCTCTGCCCCTCCCCTCACCAGCACGTGCATACATTTTCTCTAAAAAAAACCCCAAAAACAAAAAAACAGACTGCTCTTCTAAGACCATGGATATGAGACAGAAAGTCAGGGTTCAAACTATAAATGACTTAATGAATCAACTAATTACTTCCTGCTCTGACAATTGACTCGGAAATGAATGAAACTGTTAAGATCAAAGACACACACTTACAAAAGCTTAGTAAGTCTAACTTTCTAAATGGGAAACAGTAACTAAAGGGTAATTAGAAGTGCTTTTCATTTCTTTTTCTAATAAAGGTCATGCCTTTGGGAAAGAAAGGAAACGAGAAATGAATTTTTGGCTATAACAGTGTCAAAATCCAAGAACTGATTTATTAAATCATGAGCAACAATACTAAAGCAAAGAGCTTCGAGCAAAGGATAAAATACACCTCACAAGGACTAAAATAAATTCGCAGATGAGTCAACAGCCAAATTAAGATTTTCTTTCAATTTAAGTGAGGAAGGAGAAAATTTCTCAGCTACCTTAGAAAGCAAGATACCACAGGGAAAAATCAGCATTATTTTTAGAAAACAAGGCAGCAGTGGAAAAGTATCCAGTAAATTCTCATGAGAAAACGCAAAGAGGTAGGGATTCCTACACTGAGCCTCACATATTTATATGCCAATATAAAGAAAATATGTATAAATACAGCACTGGTTTCTGTGTGTGTATGTACATTTTTGCCCAAGGAAGTAAATAAAATTTAAGAGGTGAGCCTTGGTGGACCTCATGATCAAATATGGTGTTGGAGAAATGTATTTTGTTTAAATGGATACATAAGGTGAGAAATCAGCAACATACATACATGGACATGTGCATATTCCTGGGGTAAAGAGGTACAGTTTTCGTAATATTTTTAAAGTGATCTGTGACCCAAAAAAGGGGTAAGAACTACTTCTGATATAGAAGGTATTCCTGCACTTGGTAAAAGTCAGAACAGATTATCTCTATGGTCTCTTTTAAGTCTTCCTTAAACTCTGCCAACTTAAATAGAAATTGTAAAACTTTTAGTCTATAAGAAAAGCAGGGGCCTGCTCATCAGGTTCTAAGAGTAATAGCACATAGTCAGGGATAGTGCAACCAGAAGCAGATCAAGTGGCTGATGAGACAGTGTTCATAAGGATATCTGCCCCCAAATCTCCACATCAAGACCGAACACTATTCATCATTAGTCACTCCTCTGGTTTTTGTTATTAAACCCAGAAAACTGGTTTCCAAAGAGAACAAATTTCATGCCTATTTACACTGAATTGCTAGTTTGGGTTAAAATAAAGCCACAAAAGGTAGAGAAGAAAATAAAAATTCAAAGACAGACAGAAGGTAAACTCCACTTCCTTACAATCATGGCCTGGGTCAGCACAATGTGGAATTCAACAGTCACCAAACACTGTAAGAAAGACAGCACCTACCTGAGTTGCTGTGATAACATCTCTACTTACCTGAGCCAAGACACTTTCCATCTCTGATTTCTTCTCAGCAGAACACTTCTTGTCAGACATCAATTTCTGTAAATGAGCTACAAGAACAGTGTGGGTACATGTCAATTTCAATCAAGGGGTAAAAGGACAATACACTTTGAGTTTCGGTGCTGGAGAGGTAAAAAAAAAATGAATCCAAGGATAATGTTTTCACTTTATATAAATCCCACAGTTGATTTTCCAGGGAGAATCATGATACTGTCTTGATTCCTTTGCTGACTCAGAATTTCTAATTATCATATATAACTTCTTTTTGTTAAATAAGGGACTCAAGTTGTACAGGCATACCTTGGAGATACTGTGGGTTTGGTTCCAAACCACCACAATATAGCAAATATTGCAATAAAGTGAGTCAAATAAATGTTCTGGTTTCCCAGTGCATATAAAAATTGTTTGCCCCATATTGTACTCTGTTAAATATGCAATAGCATTATATCTAAAAAAGCACACCTTAATTAAAATATATTTTATTGCTGAAAAATGCTAACCATCACCTGAGCTCTCAGGGAGTCCTAATTACTGATCACTATAATAAATAATAATGAAAAAGTTTGAAATATTGCGAGAATTACCAAAATGTGAGAGAGACAAAGTGAGCAAAAGCTGTTGGAAAAACAGCACTGATAGACTTGCTTGGCCCCGGGTTGCCAGTATCTGCACAGCACGGTAAGGTAGAGTGTAATAAATGAGGTCAGCCTATATGGTTAAGATCTGTGCTCTTTACTCTTTGTATGTTAGGCCCCCAAAAAATTTTAATAGAAAAAATATGAGAAAAGCTTAATCTAAACCCTCTGTTTTGATCAATTTTACTTGGAAGAATATTTATCTGAGATGAAAAACCATACCTTTTAATAGATGGTCAGCACGAAAACACTCTCCATTTTTTACATCTTTCACCATGAAGTCAGCAAATTTGTCTACGTGGCCAGAGGTCCTAAGTTAACAAATGCCAAGCCAATATGTCATTTTCATACAAATTAATACATAAACTTTACGTTCTAAGATAATCCCCCTTCTATATGTAGTATATCAAGCTTATATCTGTGTATCTGAAAGATGGAAGTTCCCATATATATAATGATGTATCCATGGTAGATAATGTAGGCCAGAGAAAATTCTTCCTCAAATCTATCTCCACCCTTTCCTCCGAGTTCTTCCTTCCGAAAGGAAAGAGACATCAACTGGATTACACTCTTTTACAAGTTGTCATAAAGTATGCGCTACCTTGCAGAATCAATTAATCCATGTCTATCTCATTATTAATGATTTATGCAAAGGCCAAAACCAGGGGGACTTTGACTAGGCAAGAATTCATAACTCAGTATAGATCCTCAATCTTAAGAAAAGAGTTTTCTGCCACCAAAAACTGTATGGACACTGGTATTATCTCTTATGCAGTTCCTATTAGTGAAGCAAGTAGCTAAAGAATAGGTTGTCTTGATCTTTTAGATCCATCATCAGGAATTCATCTTGTTTTTATTGGCTGAAATTATTGAGAGAGCCCAAAGGATGCAAACAGGGAAAATGAGCTCTTTACCAGGCAACATTAAATGAAGTGATGAGATACAAAATGTAAGGATTCTTCTTTCTATATTCTAGCAATCCTGCCCTGCTTTCAACAACGTTAGTAGGAATAAAATAAATTTCTGCACTAACACTTCAACACAAATAGTAGTTATCTGATTTTAAACGTATACACACCTTTGCCCAGAACTTCTAAAAACTTAGAATAAGGAAATAATCATATATATACAAAATCCATCTATCAGGATGTTCAGTGGACTCAAAAATCAGGAGCAATTTATTTTTTTTAAAGATTTACTTATTAGAGAGAGAGTGCACATGCATGGGGGCGAGGTCGGGGGGAGTGAATCCTCACGCAGACCCCCTGCTGAGCAGACAGCCTGACTCAGGGCTCGATCCCAGGACCCTGAGATCAAGACCTGAGCCGAAACCAAGAGTCAGCTGCTTAACCAACTAGGCCACCCAGGTGCCCCAGGAACAATTTAAATGCCTATGATATGGCACTAGCTAAATAAATTATGGTATATCCACAAGAGAGTACTATGCTGTCATTAAAAATGCTTTAGACAAATATTTAATGACATAAGTAAATGTTCACCTACATTACATGAAAAAAAGCAGTGTGCTGCTAACATTGATGTATGTATAAGGACTTACAGAGAAAGAAGACAGAATAAACACAACAATTTTGACATGGTTGTCTATGGACATTAGGTGTATATTTTGTCTTTCTTTATTTTCCACATTTTTACAATGAATATGGGTAGTTTTTATAATCAGGAGAAGTTACTTAAATATGCATATTAATGAATTTCAGCCCCCAAAGTAGAAATCTTACTTTAAAACTGGCTCAGGGGTGAGCATGGTACAATCAATCTCCAGGATCTGTTCCTCTTGGATAAAGTGCTGCCTCCAGGTCTGAATAATATTATTCTTCAAAGCACATCCAACTGGCCCAAAATCATACAGACCACTAACACCTATAAAATATGAACAAGGAAAATCTGTACTTTACCTTGTCACTCTGAGCAAATTAAAGCAAGAAGATGTATGAAACTGTAAGACTTCACATATTCCCTAAAGAGGTATTAAAGTCAACAATTCAAACCCCTCAATACTGAAGGGATTATTTCCAGCTAGCTAACAGAAGTAAAATTAAAAAGCTCTTACTCCATTTACTACTTCTATATTAAGAATTCCAAGTAGGATTAGCAAAAAACTAAAAGCAAAAGATGTTCCTCCATATATGAGAAACAATGAAAAACAGATTACACTTTTCTGCCATAGATCTAACTTGTTGCATCAGCTGATAACAATGATGAATTTTAGCACCCAATTCTCTAATTTATTCTTGGATATATAAACCACTATATTTAATCTTGAGTATATGACACACTATATTTAAACCTCAAGTGAAACATTTAGAGATCTGCTTAGCCAAACTCAAATCAAGTTTCCGGGACAAAGTACTAAAAGTCTAATACTGTTGGAATGATCTCCACCGACTATGAAAAATACCATTGTACACTTAATCAGTGAAGTATATTTGCCTACATACCTTCACAAAGCATTTAGAAAGATGTAGAGATTTACCTACATACCTATGAAGAATGTTTTCTCCTGGCAGTTGCCATAAAGAATAACCTAGGGACCCTGGCCTGTCACTGCCCTTGTGTGAAGGTGCACAATACAGTTGGCCAGTGGCCCTCAACTGCTCCAAAGAAGAGTCTGATAGGTACCTGGACATATTAAGTGCTTCATCCCTGGGCCCCTAACAATTCCCTACTTCCAAATGGAAAAAAAGCAGTCTTTGAAAATAAGTAGGATGGAAAGGAATAAACAGATTTTACACCAAATGGCCAATTTTAAACAAACAAGAGCAAAATGTTCTCTGTTTTATGTGACCTGATACAGTTATCGATTGAAAAGCCATGTTTTTGATTTAAGAACAATAGTAAAGCCACCAACAACATAATTGTGCTATCCCCTACCTCCATAAATAGCAAAAGCTTGATCGTAGAAAAACCTCCTCTTCAGGGTATCTTCCATTTTTGCTCTGTCTACAATGTCGTCTTTGGGTTGTAATGCTAGCTCCTATAACGGATTTTCAAATAGAAAACGTGTAATTAGGGGTGAGAGGAAATATGAATTTATATATGTGAGTTTGGTTTATTCCTCAGCAAAATTCAATACAAAAATTTATCAGACAAGATTTTGATGCCTTTAAAAAAACAGATACCTTAGGGTTTTTTTCCCCCCTTTCAGTTACAAAAAAGATCCCTTTAACTTAATTATTTAGGAAGACTAAGGTTACTTAGATGCAGATACTGATAAGCAATATCTGAATTTTTAGTGGATCACTGTAGTGAGACAATGACTTAGAACTCCAAACTATTTCAGTTTGGTGATGGGAGATTTACTGTTTGAAAAATTTGGGAGCAGGTATCAGATGGATACAAAAAGAAAAAAAAGTTTGACACAAAACCATTATTTCCAGGGATAGAAGAATTTATAAAGAAGAGCAAACACACACACAAAAAAAGCACAAATGCCTTCCAGGGAAATTTGCGGAGTGTATTAAATCTAGGATTTAGGGGAGGGGTGGGTCAGAAGTCAGGGAGACTTCACAGACAGGTGACATTTTGAGATGGAGTATGAAAGCATGAGAAGTCTGCCAGGTAGCACATAAGAAGGCATGCTGGATAAATAGAGATAAGGCAAATGATACTGTTCAGAAACTTTTCTAGGTCTTTCCCACCCAAAGAGATTAAATAAAGATGACGTTCCTCTTTTAGGATTCCCAAGACTCACCTTTGCTTCCAGAACCCTCTTCCGGGCTTTGAGCTCAGCTACAGCTTTGTCTACATCTACTTGGGGTGCTTTATCTTCTTTCAGTTTTCGAACAAGATCTCCCTAGCCAACAAAGACAGTTTATATTCAGGATTGGTTTCAGAAGTCAGGAAAAGTTATGAATGTGTTTTTAAGCATACCTTTAAAAAGTATCTGTGTAAGAATGAGGCCATTCAAATGTTTATTATGAGATGTCATAAATAACTGAAGCTTTTTGCCCTCAGTATTTATAATCCAGCAAAATACACAAACAAGTATACAAATAACTACGTTCTAAGGGTCATTAGTACTACTGTGCTTTTTTTTCCTTTTGGGAGAGGAGACAGGTGGAAAAGGAGAGGAAAGCATTGATAAAAACTGTGACAAAACTTGGAAGCAATCAAGATGTCCTTCAGTAGGTGAATGGATAAACTGTGGTACATCTAGATGATGGAATATTATTCAGCACTGAAAAAGAAATGAGCTATCAAACCATGAAAAGACATGGAGGAATCTTAAATGCATATTGCTAAGTGAAAGAAGCCAATCTGAAAAGGCTAATTCTAAGCTATATGATACTCTGTAAAAGGAAAAGCTATCATATTATGTAAAACGCAGAGAGTAAAAGGATTAGTGGTTTGCAAGAGTTAGGGGTGAGGGGAGCATGACTAGGCAGGCACAGAGGATTTTTAGGGCAAACTATTTTTAGTAACAAACTATTCTGTATGATACTATATTTGGTGGTTACACACCATTATATTTTTGTCAAAACTCAGAATGTAAAACACCAAGAGTGAATCCTAATGTATGTAAACTATGGACTTGGAGTGAAATGACATATCAATGTAGGTTCATCAATTGTAACAAATTGTAACAATTTGTAACAAATTCTGGGGCAAGAAGCTGATAGTGTGGGAGGCAGTATATATGTGGGATCAGGGAGTATATGGGAAATCTCTGTGTTCAATTTTGTTGTGAACCTAAATTTGCTCTAAAAAATAAAAGTCTGTATACATAAAAAAAGCAACATGAGGAATCTGGTGATTGAAATGTTGTTATTTTGATTATATCAATGTCAATATTGTGGCTGTGATATTGTACTAGTTTTGTAAGATATTACCACTGGGGGAAAGTGGGTTAGGGACACAAGTGATTTCTCTGTATTAGTTATTACTACAAGCCAATCTACAATTATCTCAAAGTAAAAAGTTTAATTTTAAAAAGTAAAAAACAAAAAACAAAAAACTGTGAAAGAACAAGGTTAGTACTGAGAACACAAAGAGCCAATGAATAAACCACCCTCCCCTTGAATCTCTCTCCTACTTAAAAAACAACCGTCCTGGTTTTCTACCTACTTTGACCATTTCTTCTTAGTCACAACTAACTCATATTCCTCTGCCCTTTTCTTAATTGTTACAATTTTTCCTTGATAATTTCTCTAGAATACCTTATTTACTTCTAACAACCTACCACCTGTACACTGATTCCCACACTTACAGTAATGTGGTGGAGTAAGTAATCTGAAAAAGCAAACAAAACATTACCTATATGGTCTAAGAAACTTCAAGCTGAGAAATTAAAGTTGTCAAATTGATAGAGGCTTTGGGTTCCCAACACAAGTAACTGCTCTCTAGAGGAGCAGACCTTCCACATGGGTCTTTTAGGATTTTCACAGATCGAGGTCACCAAAATAATAAGCATTCAACTCAAAATTTAAAAGCCCATTGAGGAAACAACCACCATAGGTGAGACTCAGTGGAAATGACAAATAACAGAATTAGAGCCTCCAAAGTATTAGAATGATCAAATATACTTTTTTAAATGCCTAAGACATTAAAAAGGAAAGTTAAAGAAAAGAAGTCAAAAACATGAGCAAAGAACTAGAGACTATCAAAAACAATCAAGAAACCTGACAAATAACCACACAGGTTCTGGTCCAAGAAGACGACAGAGGAGTGGGGGAGGGGCAAAATGGGTGAAGAGGAGTGGGAGATAAAGGCTTCTAGTTATGGAATGAAGTCACAGGAATAAAAGATACAGCACAGGGAATATAGTCAAGAGTATTATAATAGTATTGTATGGTGACAAATGGGAGCTACACTTGTGGTGAGCAGAGCATAACGTATAAACCGATCAAATCACCATGGTGCACACCTATGTAACAGCGTGTGTCAGCTATGCTTCAATATATGTAAATAAATAAATAGGGGAGGGAAAGAACCACATAGATCATCTAGAAATGCATCACTGAAATTAAAAACCCACTGGACAGGTTAAACAGCAGACCAAAGTTGAAGAGAGAATTAGTGACTTAGAGCACAGACCTGAAGAAATTACCCACGCATAATCCATGGAATGGAGCAGAGAGACAAAGATGTAAAAACATAAACAGGGTAATAAGACACAGAAAAAAGAGAGCCTGACATTCATCCAACCAGAATTCTCAAAGAAAATAAAGAAAATCCATTAGAGGTTCTATTTGAAAAGATAATGACTATGAATTTCTCTATAATTGCTCAAAGACATGAATTCTCAGATTTAGGAAGCACCATGAAATCCAAACAACATACAAAATGAAAACCTACATCTAGAAAAGTCTATAAACTTATAAGAGATTAGAGACTGGGTTTTAATTCCTGATCAGCTAATTGTAAAACCTTGAACAAGCTGACACCTCTTTAAGCTTATTTCCTCAACTGTACAATCAGGATGACAATACCTCACTATGAGGGACGCCTGGGTGGCTCAGTTGTTAGGCGTCTGCCTTTGGCTCAAGTCATAATCCCAGAGTCCTGGGATCAAGCCCCGCATCAGGCTCCCTACTCGGTGGGGAACCTGCTTCTCCCTCTCCCACTCCCCCTGCTTGTGTTCCCTCTCTCGCTATGTCTCTGTCAAATAAATAAATAAAATCTTAAAAAAAAAAAAAGAGTAAATGAAAGAATTTAAGTAAAATATTTTCAATAGTACCTAACACACAGTAGACACACAAAAAATTATAGTTACCATGTTATAAAACACCCCAACTTGGTTGTGGCTGAGTTATTTTTCAAATACTTCAAACCCAACTTGTTTATAACAGATTTTTCTCTGCCCTAAACTTGTTCCTTCTCCTATGTATTGCTTTCTATTTGTTAACAACAAAAAAACCTACCATTTCCCAAATAAGAAACATCAAGTTATCCTTCTTTACCGCCAAAATCTGGTCAATTTCAAATTTCAATCTACTCTCTCCCTTTCACACCCCATAGACTAGATTGCTAAAACAGATTACCAATTTGGTTCTCATCCAAAGTGTGTACACTAAGATACACTCACCCCAAACTATCCTAATGCATGTCATTTCTCTCCGACCTTCGTAAATCTTTTCACAAGCACATAGCATTCCTAATTTGGTGACTGTTCCTACCCCCATGCTTTCAATAATGTTTATCCTCAGGGCGCCTGGGTGGCTCAGTCAGTTAAGCATCTGACTGTTGCTTTCGGCTCAGGTCATGATCTCAGGCTCATGAGATAGAGCCCCATGTGAGGCTACCCGCAGAGCAGGGAGCCTGCTTAAGATTCTCTCTCCCCCTCTGCCTCCACCCCTCCCCAACTGCACATGCATGCATGCTCTTTCTCTCTAAAAAAATTAATAATAATATTTATCCTCTTATCCAAAAGCACTTCCCTTCACTTAATGAAATTCACTTCATGAATATCCCAACCTTACAATAGGCTTCCCTTAACGATGTTTCAACTAAAGGCTGAGTTTTCTCCCATATCCCTTGATCCTCAGGGGCTGGAAATGGAATAGATGTCCTCCTTATTCCCCAATGCACTTTCCAAACTGATTCTTCTTTGCTACTTCTAAAACCCAAGTTCCTTTGAAGGACCTCTCATTACCCTTTCCCCTTGTTGCTGACATTTTCTTAAGCTCCCACTTACTTCCCCTCACTCGGTAACAGTTTTCCTTTCTGCGATTCACTCTACTTTAGAATGTCCTGGTCCGGAGGTGACAAAGATGTTTATAATTATCTAACCTGGAACCTAACTCTGCTTACGTGTAATAAGAAGTATTCTCCCAGTTTTAACATACACTGAGTTTTCCAGGAATGCACCCAGGAAAATGTAATTTAAAGGAAGACTATATACTGTCTTTGTTCACAATTTTACAGAGAGTTGGTATTATTTGAAACAAACAAAAAATAACATGTGACCAATAGCAATGTTGTCTGGTATCTGAGCAACCAAAAGGATATACCTTTATCAATGTGTATCCATTGCAACTACACTCAGTGTAAATCTATGTATAGGTAGGAGCATCTGCTTACTTCCATATAACTTCCAGTAGATTCATACCCAACAATTTACATATTGAAATGCACATTATTTTATCATAAATTACTTTATTTCTTTGTATTACATTTAAAACATTATGTGTACATATATTTTTCTTTAATTAGATCTTGTAGATATTTTGTATGAATTTCATTAGTGGATTCCAAAATATCTGGTGTAAAAGGGGACACTAGGTCTGAAAGTTCAGAGCCACTGAATTAGTTATTCCTCTTATTCTTTATCATATGCAAATAAGTCTGGTCTGTTACTACACTAGCAGTTTTTATTCTATTATCCTGACCTCTCTAGCTAAAGAAACATCTTCAGTCATCTTCTAACTTTATTTTGGCTTCTTCATTACACTTACAATAACTGAAGTCACCCAATCAATGCAGTGGCTTATTTATTTACATGCATTTTATTTGTCCCTGTCAGAATAAAGTAGGCTCTTTAAAGATGGGAATTCTGGCATGTCAATTCTGGCGCTCAAATACTTATTGACTGATACCACAACCTAAATCTAGCAAAGTACAAAGCACTTAGTATTCAGTAAATATCTACTGACTTATTCTTTACTCACTCAGTGCTTCTTTTCCTTTTCTCTACCTATCAGAACACCTATCTCATAAATGTTCACTAACAGGGCTTTTTCATGAGGATAAGAATTCTGTGAAAGCCTTTGTTTTGAAAAGAGGTTGGCAAATGGTAGTTCTTTTTGAATGTCTGAAAGAAGTAAGCAAGTAGTTCTTTCGAATATCTAACCACTC